TTTTCGGCTTATTTTGCCTCCTTCCTGAGGTCAAAGTCACCAGGATCCTTGTTCCCCCAGTAAATAAATGATGCTAGTTTCACCTTTTTTTTTTCTCAGAAGGCCATTAAGAAGATGCTTTTATTCTCTCTCGTCCATGTTGAGAGGAGGTGAAAGTTCTCCCTCATGAGTAGAAGGAAAGGAAGAGTGACAGGCCTTTCCAGAACCATCTCTCGATTACCTCAGCCTCCCCAACTGCCTTTTGCGGGAAAAATTACCACACATCTTTCAAGGTTGTATAAGTAATTTGGGACATGCGGTGCCTAAATTGGAGACTGGCTGCTGACTCCCTGCCAAAAACAGCATTGCTGGAAAAAAAAATGATGTTGGTTTTTGTAACATTTGCATCTCCTAATGGATAGTCCTAGAGGCATCTTTAGAAATAATTGCTAGGCTTTTTAAGTAGAAGTGCAAAATATTTCATTATAGCGGATGAAGGCGATGTCCAAATAATCCGTTCGTCTGCTACTCGGTGTACCATCTAGAGATGAATGGTTGATGGATGATTACAACATCCTAATCTCCATTTCCTTTTCCTTCCATATTTCATTTGGATGATGGTCTATGGAGATTCTCAATCGTCCAAGTTAAGGTTGTCCCAGGGGTGCTTTTCCAGTTCTGAAGAAGCTTCTTAGATGAGAAGCAAAACAATTTTCAAGGAAAACAAACAAAGTTACTTTCAAACCGTATCTTTGGGGCAGTCTGGATGACTCTTTATGCAGAGGACATCTTGAAAGCTGCAGCATCAGCTAGAGATCTCCACAAAATCCAACCATGTTTATTATGACCACCATCTTAGGTTTTTTTTTAAATCCTTCCCCACATGCCTTTTTTTTAATTTTTTGAGAGAAGAATTTTCATCCTGCAAATTGAATGGAATCACCCAGCACTTTTATCTTCTATAACCAGGCTGGAAATAGACATGTTAGCAGTTTGGTGCTTTCCTTTGCGTTGGTCGACATCCTGTTTTTTCCTAACTGACATGGCCAAACATTAAAATCAGTTGGGATTGAGGATCAGTTTTCCATCATGGATTATTTCCATGGGAGTATTGATGCCAATGGGTCCAGTCACTGATTCTAATGTCGGCTACTACCAGAAACATGTACCGATAATGATTTAATTTTGGCCAACGATAAGGCCAAGAAGGTGGCTTCATTCAGTGAATTTAAAGTTTGATCTGGACACAGAAGAAAAAGAACTGACTCTAAGAACTGTATGTGGCTCTAGTGAATAGAAATGAGATTGTAGTGGAAAAGCTGGAAGTAGATCGAATAAGGCTGATCTGGATTCATCAGTGATGTACGTAACAATACATTACAAAATTAGGTGCTGGGACATTAGTAGATAAGTGCCCTGTTTGAATTCTATCCTCAAAGTTTTGTCCTTGTGTTTTGCTGCATGTGTCTTGTGTCCTCCGAAGTCCTGCATTAACCCAGCCCACGAATTGCACCAATGAAATGCCCTTTCCCCCATTGCTTCTTGGTATTTAAGTTGACCAGTTTGATTTTATTTAAACAACCATTTGCCTTTCCCTTCCCTTGCTCCATTTCAGTTAAGGGATCTCATATTTCTGAGAAGGAAATGAATTTTTATGCAGTCCATATGATGTTTTTTCCCCTTAATCAGATTTGTTCACTGGATGACAATGGAGGGAAAGTATTTGGTAGAAAGGCACGCTGTAGTTTGATGTGCATGCCTGCAGGAATCGAAGTAGGACAAATGTTCCTCTCCAGACTGCAAACTGGTGCACGTCTTGCACAAGTTGATACCCACAGTAATCAGAATGTTGATAATACAAAAACTTTCTTTCTTTCTTTCTTTCTTTCTTTCTTTCTTTCTTTCTTTCTTTTTTTCTTTCTTTCTTTCCTTCCTTCCTTATTTATTTCTCTCCTTCCTTCCTTCCTTCCTTCCCTCTCTCCCTTTCTTTCTTTCTTTCTTTCTTTCTTTCCTTCCTTCCTTCCTTCCTTCCTTATTTATTTCTCTCCTTCCTTCCTTCCTTCCTTCCCTCTCTCCCTTTCTTTCTTTCTTTCTTTCTTTCCTTCCTTCCTTCCTTCCTTCCTTCCTTATTTATTTCTCTCCTTCCTTCCTTCCTTCCTTCCTTCCTTCCCTCTCTCCCTTTCTTTCTTTCTTTCTTTCTTTCTTTCTTTCTTTCTTTCTTTCCTTCCTTCCTTCCTTATTTATTTCTCTCCTTCCTTCCTTCCTTCCTTCCTTCCCTCTCTCCCTTTCTTTCTTTCTTTCTT